AAAACCCAAAGAGGCTGGCTTGTCCAGTCGTCCATAGCTTGTGGTCTACCTGAAGTGCCGGTTCCAACACCGGGCAATTACCTCCCCTCTGGGAGAGCTAGGGTCCGCGTGGTCGCCCAGGCCACGAACCCACGCAAGCGTGGGCCCCCTGCGGTTAACAGTACTGTAACTACAAAAACAAAAACAAGTTTGTAGTTTGTAGTCACAGTACTGTAACTACAAACACTTTTTTTCTGTGGTGTTGCTAGCAGTAAGTGACGCACAATACAACTTCATAGCAATAGATGTCGGTGCTTACGGCCGTGAGGGAGATTCAACAATATTCAAAAACTCCAATTTGTACCAAAGACTCAAATCTGATGAGCTCAACCTACCAGCAGAAAGACATTTACCATCGGGTGGACCAACAGTCCCATTTGTACTTCTCGGAGACGAAGCCTTTGGTTTGTCAAGACGTTTAATGCGCCCCTACCCTCCGAAAAAATTAACAGAGGAAAATAGGGTCTATAATTACTTAAAAGGGCGCGTAATGCACTCAGTTAATTTAGTGAGCCCAGAGTTTGTGGCTACAATCGTCATGTGCTGCTGTGTATTGCACAATTACGTTAAGAATAGGGATGGTTTCATCTTTGAAGACTCTTTGACTTGTGAAATGGTGAATATAGAAGAAATGCAAACAGTAGGATGTCGTTGCAATGGTTTGGCTGTTAGGAACTTGTTTGCCGAGTACTTCAATGGACCAGGAGCTGTTACTTAGCAAGACAGGTATGCCTACACATAAGGACAGGGATGAAGAAGCAACATCTAAAAGCGTGTTTGTAAATTGTCATGTGTTTTTTAATAAAGATTTGATATTCTATCTAACACTTGTTGTTCAGTTACCGAAGGTTGACAACAGCTATTGAGTGTAGTGTTACATGAAGATGGTACAAACAAACACACGTACAAACATACGGACATTTAAATGAAACGAAACAGGAGACATAATATGTTTGTATAAACAAATTGACAATATTAAAAAGAAAATTAATGGTTCAAAGGGTTGGCACAAACTTTCTCCCCAGGTAAGCAAGTGATAAATGTGATTGACGGATGAAAAAACTTAATTCCATAACCTAAAAACGCAGAAAAATCACACTTTTCACTTACTTGCGAGAAAGTTTGTGCCAACCCCTATGTACCATTTATTTTTGCGCCATCAAAATACTTTCTCCATGCTACGCATATGGGTGAAAGTAACGAAAACTAACTGATTGTGTACACTGGTTAAAACTATTTTAAACGTGTATTGCTTACAAATTATAATATTTTATTTTAGTGACAAGATTTTACTCTATTTCACATTTTTGTTCTTCATACATACATTAAACTAAAAATAATCAAATTCTTTACATTAAGCTTGTTATGTTTTTTTTTTCATTTACAGTAATGAAGAATCTAATTGAATATATAAATACTGAGTAAAAAAGTATGACATTATAAAACAATTATAAACCTTTTAATTTATATTCTCGAAGTTTATAATATGAACAATAATTATAAAAATGACGTAACAAACATGTCTTCTTTATCTTTATCTTCGGTGCTCATCTCGTCCCAATTGGCATACATGGCTTTCCCGACCTCAAACCAGCTGCTAGCTTTAACCAGCTTGTTCGAATAGTCCTTCAACTGAGTATCGTACAGTGCTGGACGGTTTTCCACCTCTATAATAAACCTCTCTATGTCAAACATGATTAATTAATTTGACACAACACTTGGCGAACTGGATAATTTTAACACAACTGGAGCCTGAGAAATTCCACAGAGGAATGCCCAGCGATACTTCTTGGCGGAGGTCACAGCAGCGTAAAAGCTGCCCGTATAACAGTACTCGCGTCATTTCTGTCGCGTTGTTTCTGCCAGTTTTAGGCTGGTACTATACGGACGCTAAATGCGTCGCGTTAATGCGTCGCGTTAACGCCAAAGTTCGGCGCATAAGTAGTCCAGACTATACGGACGCAAAATGCGTCGCGCTGTTTTTGCGTCAACGCCCCGCTGGCCAGACTATACGAGCGCAGAAACCGCCACGTTGCTTCCCAGATCACTTTATTCCAAGTTGCCAATATGGATGCAGTGCAGATCGGTGCTGTAGGGTTTCAGTGTCTACTAGAGATGTATTTGGAAAAGACCAAAAGGCAGGATAGACGTTGGGGTACCCATCCCGTTCTAAGCAGCAGATTGACAACAGGTGCGTTTCATTTGATGTTTGAGAAGCACAGACAATATGAAGACAAACTTTACCAATATTACAGGATGTCTGTTAGCTCATTTGATGAACTTTTACATCTTGTCAGTGACGGTCTGATGAAGAAAGATACCAACATGAAAAGGAGTATTGAGCCAGCTGAAAGACTTGCTATAACCATCAGGTAAGCCGTTTATCGAAGGGTAGATCCATGTCAAGTGTTCCAGCAGTGGTTGCTTGACATTTTCAGAAACATTCATATTTGGTAGATCCATTTGGAAATGGGGACCCTATTTGTTTTGCTCGCTAGCTGTTTTCGCCTTTGCAAGCATCCCCCCAAATATAAGGAACTGACCTACCAAATATAATTTTTTCTGAGATTATCAAGCAACCAATATTTTTTACCTGGACCTTGGGATGGATTGACCCTGAAGTGGTTTTAAACATTTAGTGTATATTATTATTTTTTCCTTCTAGAAGAATGTTTGAAGTAAGGGTTATATAAAAAACGCAAAAACAGTTTTGGAATATGTATTAGTTTTAGTTTAATGATTCTTTTAACATAGTATTATAAATATTCCTATCAGGTGTACAATATGTAACATCGGATATTGATAAAAAATACAAATAAGAGCCTCGTTCAGTTTAAATTGCAGTCAGACACTTACAAACACAATAGGTACGTTGTAATCATTTTGTGATACATTATAATCACTAGGTTAACATATTTTGGTAAACTGAATGTAACTGATTTTTATGTATTGATTACGGAACAACATTAAATTTCATTTACCTCAAATTGATCTGAAAGTTAGCAGACCAATTTTGACCGAGTTATAAAATACAACCTTTTTCTATATATTTGTAATGAAGGAACAATGTAAGCCTATAACATTTTCCAATAGTTATATTAGCTTAGTCTTTTGTAAACAGATAACCTACAAACAATAGTAAACTAACCACATATTACAAAATATGAACTACTATTAAGTAAGTAAAGAATTTTATGACCAAGAAGTTTCAGTTCTGCACAAACACACTGGGAAGTTAATTACAAAATTGTCATTATTCCACAGTTAATCGGTTGGTATCTTTCACGACACAAAAACCTTTTACTACTTTAGGTAAATATTCCATATAGGCCCTTTAGAGTAAAAAAAATAAAAATCGGGAGGGACTCTATATACGGGAAATTTACCGTACTTGTATTTCATTTAAAAACTAGCCTACTTCTTCTTACTAGAAGATGGTTCAATTCCCGGGTTCACGGAAAAATGTACAAATTCTGATATGTTAAATGGTTGGTTTTGAGTGTTGTCACTGGAAGTGGCATTAGAGCATTCGGTGTTTTCGTCATAGTCACCGATTATTGATGGTGTGGTCGGAGTCGGAGTTGTGTATGGTGAATTTAGGCCCGAGAACATTAATGGTGACGCAGATGTGTAGTCCATCATTTGGGTACGCACTGGCACTGGTTCCTGAACTCGTGTTTGGTTCATAATAGCATTTCGGAACACTTCAGTTAGTTGCATCCTAACATCAAAGGCAGCAAGTGGTGGAAGGCTGTCCATAACAGGAAGAAAGGACATTAAAAATGCCTTGTTCCCAGATTTATCTGAGCTGTTAGCTGAGGAAGTGTTCGCTCTTTGAATGGCGATGCTTTCTTGCATCAATGATGTAATGTTTTTTGAAGCTGATGTCAAAGTTCTCTCAATATTAGTTCTTTTTGACACACGTTCTTGTCTCTTCTGACGTTCAACTAGTGACGAATTTGAAACGCTGTCAGCACGGTCATTGTCATTACAACCGTCCCCTTGAACCTCAACTGCATTAGTTGTTTCTACTGTTTCTACTGCTTCTTGTTCAGATATAATGTGTTCAAGGGGTGGAATATTTGATACGTTCTTGTCATTGGGCTTCATGTAAGGTGTCAAAAAAGACAGTTGGTCAAAGAAAATGTATTTCTTTTTTTTTGTTGCTGGAGCTCCAGTCTCATTTTTCTTTAAAATACGTAGTTCACGAACGAAATTGTCATGCAAAGTCTTCCATTTTTTCATCAGATCTTTGCCTAAAACAAACGGAGCAGTTTTAGAATCATATAACTGTATACTTGTCACAGGTTTAAAGCAGGTAATTATAATATAACATTTCTTGTTTGATTATAGTGTATTAGGGACATATTAGGGTCATGCCTTGTAAAATCATCAGAGTGGGGTTTCTTGACTGTTTTATTTTATTTTAATATTTTTATCACGACTTCTACCGCACTTCAGGAGATCAACACAATTAAAGAAAAGATTATTTTTTAAATTCTGTTTTATACACTTACTTAAAGTGAAGACAACCATGAAAATTTAGCGATTTTAAAGGTTTCCGGAAACCATTATAGCTCAGTTCTTTAAAAGGATATTTTAGATTACTTTATTCCTAATTGCAGATAAAAGTACAGTATTTTGTTGTTCAACTCCCTTTAAACGTTATACTAAAATCCCCTTCTGTTCTGACGTTATTTTACAAGAATTAAGTAAATTGTTTTATAATGTAAGACTTAAAAGCGTGAAATCTACACATCTACAAAGACGGCAGTATCAATGTCTTATATTAGATAGCTATATTATGTTTCGCTTATATTTACGTTATATATTTTAGGTATTTGGGCAGTGGAATGAACTTCAGTGACCTTGAATTCGAATATCAAGTATCAAGAAAAACAATACGTCTCGTTGTTGAGGAGACCTGTGAAACAATTTCGGGAAAACTGCAGTCAACTGAAATGCCAATCCCTACAAGTGATGAATGGCTTTTGAAGGCAACGGAATATGAGAAGTTAACCAACTTCCCAAATTGTGTTGGTGCCATTGACGGCAAACACGTGCGGATACAATGTCCACCAAGTTCACTGTACTACAACTTCAAGAAGTATTTTTCACTTGTATTGTTTGCGGTCAGCGACGCACAGTGCAACTTCACTGCAATAGATGTTGGTGCATATGGCCGGGAGGGCGATTCCACAATCTTCAAAAACTCAAACTTTTACAAAAGAATGAATGCCGGCCAACTGAACCTCCCAACAGAGAAACCGCTTTCACCAGAAGGCCCCACAGTACCTTTCGTATTTCTTGGCGATGAAATGGCGACAAATGGCGAGTTATGCATTCCTGTATCCTGGTGAACCCGATCTTTGCAACGAAAATCATTCAGTCTTGCTGTGTATTGCATAATTATGTAAAAAGGCGAGATGGTTACATTTTTGAAGAATCGCTTACATGTGACATGGCTTGCGTGGTCGGAGCAGCAGTAGGAAGTGGTCGTAGTAACGGACTTGTAGTAAGGGACTTGTTCTGTGAGTATTTCAATGGACCAGGAGCCTTAAACTGGCAAAATCAATATGCCTAAGCACAATCACTTGAAAAAGTAGGACTTAGTAAAAAGAAGAAAAAGTAAACTTAGAAAAAGTATAACAATATTATTTCCTATGTAAAAAATTTGTAAAATAAAAAGTTTTGTAATTGACTACTTTGAATACATCCTGTTATGTTATTGTAGCTCCTCTCAAATTAGACCTTTGTATCATAATCTAGTGTCAGTTCTATAAACAGTATTGATCAACTCGTGAATAGGTTTAGTGAAGGTTGGCAAGGAAGAACAGTGACCTTGGACGACTCATAGCGCACAAATAGACTTTTCACCCCTCCCCTTTCTACCAACCTACCGCCGGCGCGACGGCGACGCCGGTGCCGTCTGGGCTAGCCATGCGTCGTAACTTCGATATCTACAGCAGTAGATAACAAGTATTTTAAGTGCCAAAAACTGTGATCATGTACGCAATGGCACAATTAAATCACTAATGTTCTTTACAATACGTTACAAATAACATACGTTTAACATACATTTCAATATTTAAACCTTTTACGTCAAATAACCACACAATTTAACAAATAACCATATAATCAAACCGTAATTTAAGGAAAGAGATGATTTCAAAACGGTTTTAAGTTATTATCACAACAAAGTTGTAATTTCATTTTTGTCTTAATATACTTTCCATATTTATGTACGGTACTATTATTAATTATTGTCTTCGTTACTATTGTAAAACAACAATAGTCTAGGCATATTAGGAAAGTTAGCAGAAAGTTTAGGTACAGTCCTAATCATCACTTTTCTTTATGTTTTTTGGGTCGCTGAACACGAATATGAGAGAGTCATCAACATGTTTGATACTGAGAAGTTCATCTTAGAAGTAGAGAAGCGGCCTCCACTTTATAACGTTCAGTCAAAAGAATATTCAAACAGAAATGTTAAAGCTCAGTGCTGGATGGAGGTAGGAGCAGCTGTGCACGACAACTGGGAGGAAATGACTCCCCAAATGAAGGACGAAGCAGGTAACTAAGTTTGATATATTTATAAACAAAGGTGTAATGATGTAAACATATTTTTCTAAGCACCAAGTTCAACTAACTATCTTTGTAGGCTAGGCATATTAGGAATATAAGTGGCAGTTAGCGGAAAGTTTAGGTACAGTCCTAATCATCACTTTTCTTTATGTTTTTTGGGTCGCTGAACACGAATATGAGGTTTGCTGACAGATATTTTGCCCGGAACATTGGTTATTTTGTGAAAAACCTTAAAATTTGGGCACTTTTTTTGGTTTTTCGGGCAAATCTCGGTAAGTATGGGTTTTTGAGAAAATCCTGCTTTGTAAAGTTAAAGATGACAAAATTTACTACAAGTTTCCTATATAATGTTTGTTTCTACGACGAACCGTTTCGCCACTAGAGCACACTAAAAAAGGCCAGAAGTACAAAAAATTAAAAACATTGCCAAATGTTGCCGTTTTACATTACGTTTCCATGGAAACAACCCATGTTACGATAATTTTAACTATTTATGCATGATAACAAACTGAAACACACTTAAAAATACCCCCGCCGCAGCAAACCTGCAGACTAAGCGAATTTCCATTTCCCTGATTGGATTTACACTAAAATGTCTCCTTAGAAATATCACATTTATTCCCTATTTAAATAAATGTTTAACGAGATTTGCTGCAACAGGGAGGGTAAAAAGGTGTTTTTTTTTTAAAAGGAAATAATTTAGTATGAAATGAATGCATTATCCAAATTTGATCAAAATATGTTCATAAACATAAACAAGCAAACTACAACAGTTTACTTAGTATCCATAAGAATAACATGGGCATTTTAAATTTACAGATTTTTGGAATTTTGTCCGTAACCATTAGGCGCATAACAACGCTTAAATATACTAAACTATTTGTTTGTTTAAGCTCTACAAAATGGTATGGAAAGAAATCGCTAAATTTTAATTTTATATGGTCAAAAATAGGAAAAACCAATTTTTACCCCATAAAACCCCCCATAAATCTCTGTTCCCATAGTCCGATCATGCTGGGCAAAACCAAAAATGAAAATTAACCCTAATCGTTTTACAAAGGTTTTACATTGGGTTTCCATGGAAACAACCCATGTTACGATAATTTGAACTATTTATTCATGATAATGAACTGAAACACACTTGATAAATCTATGCCAAGATGTATGACTGACTGCTGGAACATTTCCCGTTCCCACAAAACACCCATTTATTTTCTCAGCACAGAGATGTGTCTGGCCACAGGGTTGACTGCTATAGTGATTGAGAAAAAAGGATGAAATACATTAAAAGAGTTGTAGATAACTTTTAACTTTGGCAAGGTCAAACTCAGACGAGCAGACCGTGTCCAGCCACTTTCCATAGTAAATAACGCGATGAAAGTAGAGAATTCTTACCCGTAAACCCCAACACATTGTTTCAACGTATCAGCAACGCTAAGAATTCTGATGAAGAACTAAAACACTTCTTGTCCTTCTGACAGAGCAAATTCCAAACTGTAAATTTAAAATGCCCATGTTATTCTTATGGAGACTAATAAACTGTTGTAGTTTGCTTGTTTATGAACATATTTTGATCAAATTTGGAAAATGCATTCATTTCATACTAAATTATTACATTTTACTAAAAACACCTTTTTACCCTCCCTGTTGCAGCAAACCTAAGTACTCGTTAAACTTTTATTTAAATAGGGAATAAATGTGATATTTCTAAGGAGACATTTTAGTGTAAATCCAATCAGGGAAATGGAAATTCGTTTAGTCTGCAGGTTTGCTGCTTCGGGGGTATTTTTAAGTGTGTTTCAGTTTGTTATCATGCATAAATAGTTAAAATTATCGTAATATGGGTTGTTTCCATGGAAACATAATGTAAAACGGCAGCATTTAGCAATGTTTTTAATTTTTTGTAGTTCTGACCTTTTTTAGTGTGCTCTAGTGGCGAAACGGTTCGTCGTAGAAACAAACATTATATAGGAAACTTGTAGTAAATTTTGTCATCTTTAACTTTACAAAGCAGGATTTTCTCAAAAACCCATACTTACCGAGATTTGCCCGAAAAACCAAAAAAAGTGCCCAAATTTTAAGGTGTTTCACAAAATAACCAATGTTCCGGGCAAAATATCTGTCAGCAAACCTCATATTCGTGTTCAGCGACCCAAAAAACATAAAGAAAAGTGATGATTAGGACTGTACCTAAACTTTCCGCTAACTGCCACTTATATTCCTAATATGCCTAGCCTACAAAGATAGTTAGTTGAACTTGGTGCTTAGAAAAATATGTTTACATCATTACACCTTTGTTTATAAATATATCAAACTTAGTTACCTGCTTCGTCCTTCATTTGGGGAGTCATTTCCTCCCAGTTGTCGTGCACAGCTGCTCCTACCTCCATCCAGCACTGAGCTTTAACATTTCTGTTTGAATATTCTTTTGACTGAACGTTATAAAGTGGAGGCCGCTTCTCTACTTCTAAGATGAACTTCTCAGTATCAAACATGTTGATGACTCTCACACAGAAGCACAATAACTACTCACTCAAGACTGCGACTGCGGGCCACGCATCTAGCGTCCGTATAGTCCGGCCCTAGCGTTGCGCAGCGCTATCTACGTCGCGCTGCTAACGTTTTTCCAGGGCTGGTCGCGTAAAATGCGTCGACGCCGAGTTTGGAGGGCAGCGTGCCGCGTAGACTGCGCTCGTATAGTCGCTCAAATTGACTTGAATTGCCATCCAAAATTAAAAGTAGCGCAGCGTATTTAACGCGACGCATTTAGCGTCCGTATAGTACCAGCCACCGGCGGTCCGGTCGCGTTGTCGACGCTGACGCCGGGTTTACAGTGTCCGACGCGACAGATAAAACGTTCGTATAACTTGCACACATTGACGTCCATTGCTCGGTAGGCTTGGCGTCTTCTGTCCGTATAACATGGGCCTTAGCTCCACGCAATACTGCCGTGGCACACGCCGTCCAGGGGCCGTAGTCGATCATAGAGACCTCCGTGCTACACTGTATTTGTAAAGATCGTGTGATTTAATGATGAGTGATTCGGAATAGATGGTGAATTGTCTGCTACAGCTTGTTATCTATTGTTCAGAGGTGAATATATGAAGTTAAAATTGAATTCAAAGAAAAAAGAAATGCGTTGGTGGATGGATGCATACAACCAAAGTCGAAGAAGGTAAGTTTAATAAGCCTAAGTATATTTTTGTTGCTCGCCAAATAGAGATCACACTCAACCTGTAAATTGCTTATCATAAAATAGATAAGTCATGAAACTATAAATATGATTTTTCTTTTCAGATATAACTGCGTAAGCAATTTAAGCTGAATCACTGTTGAACTTTGAAAACAGTTCTGCGACGGTGGTATCCGGGGGGGGGGGGGCACCTAAAACCAGGGTGACATATTGACTAATATTTGATGTAGGTGTACTGGAAGTTGAACGATTTGTTGTTGCTGGTGACTGCTGTTAGTGAAAGCTGTCACTAATGCACCCGGGCGAATACAGATTCGGAGTATTCTCTTGAGTCAAGTTGTAGTAGTAAGGATACGGTTGATGGAAGTGATGTGTGGGCGTCATGTGATACTGAATATTGGAACGTTTAAAATTAAACATGAGATTGTTTATTTTGTGCATGACTGTGTCACGGGTCGCATCATCAAGGGCTCTTAATTTGGTACACAGTAAATCACAAAACAACTTTCATCCTTGGGTATTTTTTGTTTATTTGCCTGTTGCAAAAGGTTGTATGCTAGATCCATACGTTTTTCAACTTGT